GGTGTGCCATTGGATTTTTGAGAATGATATGACTTGGACCACTGCTGATGATTGATCTTAATTAAGGTCCTTTTCGGATTTGATTATTTTTAGGTTTATAAATTTTACAAGAAATTTGATGATATAATCATCCTATGATCTGTTTCTTTCATATGGAAAAGAAAAATAACTTATTTGAGCTGTTCCTCTTTGACTTTTTGTGTAACATTGCACTTGGTTTCTGTTTTATTTTTACAAGGATTTTGATTTTCGTGATATGCTTAGCTCGAGTCCGGTATAAATTAAAATTAAAATTTTAATTTAAATCAGAGTCAACAACTAATTTTAACCACGCATTTTATGGGATTCACAATTTTTCAACCACACGTTTCAACAATTTTTATCAAAATCTACTAAAAATCTGAATTTAATCCCCACCAAATATGGGTTCATTAGTTATCTTTTGATCGGTTCGGATAAGATAACTTGAGAAGTTGTAATCATAGTCTTAGCCCATATTTGTTTTAGCTAAAAATCAAATTTTTATAAAAGTTGATAAAATATGTGATTGAAAAGTTAGATCAAATTGTAGGCCCTATAATTATGGTCTTAGAGCATATTCAATGGTTTTATTAGTTTTGGTGTAAATTGATATCTTTAAAACCATTTTTGAATTGTCATTTCCATCCTGATGGATCTAAATCCAAATTCTGTTCCAGTGGGAAGATCTAAATCCACTTTTGACCTCTTGTGGATGTGAAAAAATGCATATTTTCATTTTCCGTTGAAAAATGCCATTAACATATTCTTTGCATCTTTTCATTAGAGAGGTTATTCGACCATTTTGAAGATCTAAATTTTCATTTTATACCATTATTGAAGATCCTCAAGATTGGGGTGATGGGGGGCCTCTAGGTTGGGGTTCAACTTTTTTTATAGTACCTAGTCAGATATTTCATGCTGAAATGCGCATGTCTTCTTAAATGATAAAAGTTTCTGGCTTTAAAGGTGAAAGCAAACTCGAGACCGACGAGACAGAGAGCATGCTTTGCTTTGAGTGCAGCTAAAGATAGGCACCATCAAAATGTCGCTCTCGTGCAGAAATAGTGGATCTTTGTCTCGCTGGTTATCGATGATGTTGTCCTAAGATTTCTTTTTCTTTGCATTCCTTTTCTCGTTTTGGATTTAATTGTAACAGCCTTTTTTCATGTGGTGACTATTTCATGCAAGTTTCAATGATATCATTGTCACAGTTATAGATCTATGGGATCACATTCGTTCATTCTTTTTCTAGTGATCAAAATGAGAAACTCTAATTTTTAACAAGAAGGTTAAACCCTAACCTTTAGGGGCCCCACCACTTCGCTCCTAGAGCATCGTGAGGGAGGTAAATCGCAGGATGTACCCCAACAGGTTAGGGAACAAGAGTTTGTCTGTACACTGGTGCCCATAAAGAGTCTAATTCCATAACTCTAATTTTTAATTCTACAAGGCTCCATCAGGCAAGCAAGCATAGATCATAAATCCTCTTTGAAGTTAACTTAGTAGTTTGGTCGATTATCGGACATGAAAACATAAGAACTCAATCAGATGTCCTTCGTCGTTTGTGAATTTCTTAAATTTGATTTCGACTCTTAATTATAAAGTGATTATAGTGAATCCAAATAAAGTTGATCATCTTATTATACAATTTCCATTCGTTCATCCAGCTAGTTCCACAATGTCCATTCATACAATTGCTTCGAAATTACTTCGATCTTTCAAAATGGTATTTTTTTTATCGTAGATTAATCCATTGCAGAAAACATGACCCAAAGTGAGAAGGAAAGACGAATTTTCTGTTTCATGCTTTTAGACAAACTTAATGGAACCTTGCTACATTACCAGGGCCACATCGTAAAACAAGAAAATCCAACTTATGTAGCAGGTACGTAAAGGCTTTGCTGCAATCACAGTCGTTGGATCTTCAAGATCCACATGAATCGTTGATGGAGGGTATAAATGGAACAAGTATAAGCTACGTTAGGGTTTGTTTGAGGAAGATGAACGGCGACAAGTGTGGAATGTGCATAACACGTGTGTCATACGTGTAACACGCCGTGTTATAAAGTGTAGTTAATAAGAAAGTTACCCATAAGAAAAAAATAATATTTTGGCGGGAAAAAATAGATTGGAAAGTAGTTTAAGAAATGAGTAATGCTATTTGTAGCCGTTCATTGCCGTAGCCGTCTTATGTGACATACATATAGTCGTTAGTGATTTGATACATTAATATAGTAATTTTTTATTATCTTATATAATAAATCACTAATCGCTACATGTATGCCATGTAGGACGATTGCAATATTAGTAACTGCAAATAACATTATTTTTAAGAAATAGTTAGTTTTTAGGCTATTTATGAGATTACCCTTAGAGAAGTCCACTCTTTTTAACGGACTTCCTGTTGAGCCATGCTATTGGGCCTGATTGGTGAAGTATTGTCAATCTAATCTAATCTAATAACTTAAAACTTTTGAATGTCATATAAAACCTCAAAAGTTTTCGATTTAAAAGTCAAAATGCATTATTATGGAGTTTCACGTGGGCGTGGGTGGACCCATTTACATTCAACCTAATCGGATAACAAATTACTTAACTAGCTCAATATTTTGAAGATTTTCATCTTTTTCTATCAATTCATTACTTTACTTTTATTACGTAAGTCCATATTTAGATAAACATATCCAAACTTGAATTTATCCAAATTTGAATTTTTCCAATCAATCACCAATTAATTATTAATTGTTGAAACCACTGATGGATCATGGGATTCAATTTAAAATATTGAATTGTGCTATAGAGTCAGATGTCTCGAAATAATTTTTGACATAATGTCACGTGGTATCTTATAATTGGATTGTTTTAAACACAATTAACTTTTTCATCAAATCGTTTGCTGTTACATTGAAATATGTCACTGCAATTGTTAAATTTATTCTCGCAAAGTGGCAAATCCTAAATTATTGTGGCTGGAGGACTTTGATTTCAATAGTGACAAGCCTGTTATAAATTAATTTCTTCTATGACTTTTCCAACATTTTAAGTCTTCTTCAACTTAGGATGCTTTCAAAATTACTGTTGCACAAGAATCCAAAACTATAGGCTGGGTTAAAAATACGCCACTGAACTTTTAATAAATTTTCAGATTGGTTATTAAATTTCATTTTATCATAAAATGATCACTTAACTAAAATATTTTTTAATAATTCAATCATTATGTTCAGACTTTTCGAGGTATTTCGCTCTGGAACAGAATTTCTTATGGAACCAAGCCCTTATTTATATCGGATGAAAGATTTGTGAAGCCACTTGCTATGAGACATGAACGTCGATGTGCCTATTAGTCCAACTAATGAAAAAGTTGATTATTGTATCAACATTTTGTTAACTATATGGATAAAATGACCAGTTTGAAATACTACTTTATTTCAATAATCAATCTAGAACGAAATAAAGTTTAGTGACTACTGTAAGTTTTTTCTAAAAGTTTAGTGACTCCTAGTATTTAATACAAATTAGGCCACTTCAGCCCAATGCCATTTTTCAGTTTCTTTCCATCTACCAAGTTTCTCACCAAGAAAACAACTTCTGGGAATAGAATTCGAGTCTGCAGAAACCTTTCCATTCAAATCACATGATCCTCAAGCAAAGGCCATGTCCATGCAAATTATCATTTCTGTACTTCTATTAGTTATTGGCATAGCAATTCTGATCATGATTCATGTTTGTATTGTTGGGAGGGCTTTCAGAGGGGACTATATCAGTGGTCGAATATCTATTCCGGGTCGAGTCAGTCGAATCCCGGGCTTGTCATCCGTTGACCTAAAACAGCTGACATGTTTCGACTACAAGGCCGATGAGAAAGGGAATAGTTCAGTAGAATGTGTGGTGTGTTTGGAGAATTTCAAGGGAGGTGAAAAGTGTAGGATGCTACCTATTTGTAATCATATTTTTCATGTTCAATGCATAGATTCATGGCTTTTGAAAACTGCTGCTTGTCCAATCTGTAGAACAAGAGCTAATGCACTGCAAATTGGTGAAGAAAATAGTCGTTCAAGTGGAATTGGAGTTGAATTGGTATAGAGATCAAGAATTGTTTTCGATCCAATCCAAAGGACTCCGTAGAAAAGGCAAATTCCTTGTGATACTCGAGATTTGGCTCAATTATTGGTAGTGTGTCGATTATTGAAATCTTGTGGATCCATATTCTCATGCCAAAAAAAAATAAAATGGAATTCCTAAAATCTGTAATTTGTGTACAAGGATGATTTGAAAGATCATGCAGATACATATTTTCTTGAAGAGTTTCTTGATTCATTAATAAAATATACTTCATTCTAATTTATGCTTTTACTTTAATAAAGTACAATAGAAAAATTAAAAAGGAAAAGACAACCAAGCCGCTGATTTTTCTCTGGAATAAGATTCATTCCCTGTATTACATTACCATGTTACTTTTGAGCGTTTTTCAAAATATTCCAATATAACCTAACTAGAAATCATCGACATTTGTTTTCACTATTTTCACGTTGTAGACATAAGGGTCAAGCTCATATTTGATCAACTCAAATCTGATCGAATTACTGAATAGTCACTCGATCAATTTGACAATAAGTTGTAGGAATTTGATGGTTTTAATAGGTGTGATTTAACAATTTTAATAGGGGTAATTTGAAGAGTCTTCAATTAGTGCGATAATTAGAAGCGACCTTTCAAATGTAACGGATGCATATTGAAGAGCCGTGATTTTTCAGATTGAGTATGACTATTCAAAGAGGTACGTAATAAATGATTATGAACCTTATGCGGGGTGCGATCTAGACCATCACATTATGTCCCAATTTGAAATGATGCGATCTAAAGATCCATATTAATTCACAAACCACATGCAATTAGTCATGCTTTTCATATCCATACTATAATCTCTCACTTGGCACTACTCTCAAGCTAGCCAAACCTATAATTAACTTTGTTAAAAATGCCATAAATTCCTCATGTATCAGATATGGAAGAAATTGAACAGCCAGTGAAATGATGTCAAGTTGGACCATAAAAATATACCTCAGAATAAGGAATGAAAATAGAAAATTTCTTCATTAACAAGACTCTGGAATCAAATGAGAACTCAATGGATTCTCCTACACGCAATGTTCTAGAAGGACATCATCACAGGATTTGGTAACAAATAAATTATGGGGAAGCATCAATAAGAGAAACTTATATCATGCAGACTTAGCTCCATTCTTCTCAGTGATGCTCTCCAATTCCCTCCTAAGCTGCAGAGAGAAGTCATCATTGACATCATCATCATCCCAATCATCTTCCCATTGCTGAGTTACTTCCTTACCTTCCTCTTTTTCATCCCACTCTGCCAATTTCATATGAATAAGGAAATAAATTCAGAAAGTTGCGATGCTCCCACTACAAAAGGTTCTAAAACATGTTAAAAATCAGAATCTCTAATAAACGAATTCAATTCCGATTAATGAGAAGGAAAAGAACATAATAAACTTGAATAAAATGAACCCTGATTAGAACAGCAAGTATTGGTGAATAATTAATGTGTTGGATAATTCGGAGAACGCACATCACTATGATCTTCTTTTCATAGGTTAATTTTACTACAAAACTAAACAACTGCACCAAGAAGAATGGTCACCATAGAATGATCATCTCTATAGTAAGTTTAATATTTTCAACATTCCAGATGTAAATTTGGGAGGGGAAAGAGGTCATACGAATATTTTTATTTGAATAATAACAACTATTTAATCACACTAAGAGAAAAGAATAAAAAAAGAGAGGATCACATCCAGTGATAAAGTGTGTGCTCAGAAGAATTCACACCAAATAGTTCAAGATGCAGGGGAAAATCACATTGTACAAAAAATGAAGGTCCCTGAATACCGAATCAATAAGGTGTTCAAAATTCATATTAATAACACAATTTATGAATTCAGCAACTAAATAGACTGGACTCAAGACGAGGCAAGAACAATGCATTTTCATCTGCAGTACAACTTGATGTAGCTCAAGTATAGAAGTAGAAAATAAGAAAACCGAAGGAACCAGCAGAAGGAGCAGGATAGACATCCAGAGAAGGAGAGAAGAGGGAGGGAGAGAACGTGTTTTAACACTCAAATATCATTTCATTCATCCAATCTGTCCCCTACTTACACAAAGGGCTGAATATATATCAATAATACAAAATATAAAAAAAGCTTGGGCCAACCTACATATATAATGCAAGCTCAAAGCAAAATACTAAACTAGCCCAATTACAAAACATAATACCAGCCCAAGCAAAACTAGAAAGTAGTCCTAAGCAAATGTCCTCATCAACTCTCTCGGAGTGGGAGAAAACTCAACTTTGTCGAGTGAATGACTCACGAAAATGTTGCGGTCAGTCTCCTAACCATAAGTTGGGTGGTTGGACAAACTTCTTCTGACGTCCATAGACGTGTGATAGGTGGTCTAGGCAAAGGAAGGTCTTGCTAACTCCTATAAAGCTCCACTAAGTCGGGATCAAGTTGCTAGAATGTCTCTCTAGGGATCCATGTATAATCAGAATCAGGTTGGCTTACCCATCGAACAAGGAAACGTTGAATCTCTCCATCATTAGTCAACATAATCTGTTCATCTAAAATAGCATCAAATTTATCTCTGGGTATTGTAACAGGTGATGTTGAAGTAGGGGTAACAACAGATTCAAGTTGAGGGTCCATAGATGGAAGTAGAAAAGGATCATCGAAGGGGTTAAAATGGCTTTTATAAGCAACTAAATCCTTAACATTGAAAGTAGAGTGGTAGCCAAAATCTGGTGGAAGATCAATGACATACACATTTGGATCAACACGCTTTAAAATTTTTAAAGGACCAGCACTATGGGCTTGCAACTTGGAAGCGGATCCAGATGGATGCCGTACCAGTCTAATTGAGATCATCACATAATCCCTAATATTAAGTTCAACAGTCGTTTATGCAAATCAACTCAAAGTTTATATGATGCATTACTTGCCTCTAGTTATTTATTGTTCTTAATGTGCAAGTCATGAAGATGTACAAATGTCTCAGTTGACACACACGTTAGCATATGTGAACATAAGGATAAGATCTAAAGGCTTCCTGAGTTTATAACCATGAACAACTTCAAAATGACTCATATTTAAAAATCGATTCACAGAATTGTTATATACAATTTGGGCTATAGGGAGGATTAAATCCCAATTCCTAAGATTTTCCTGAACTAGACACCTTAACAGATTATCAAGACTGCGATTAATAGCTTGAGTTTGACCATCAGTTTGAGGGTGATATGCAGTGAAGAATTTCAATTTAGTACCAACCATGTGCCATAAGGTTCTCCAAAATGGCTGGTGAACCGAATATCCCTATCCGACAAAATGGTCTTAGGAAGACCACACAACTTAATTATCTCATTAAAGTACAATCTGGCAACCTTAGACGCATCTGAAATCTTGCTGCAAGGGATAAAGTGAGCAATTTTCGAGAAACGATCTACAATAACAAAAATAGAGTCATGTTTCTTTGGGGTACGTGAGAGTCCTAGTACAAAATCTATACTGACATCTAGTCAAGGACAACTAGGGACGGGAAGAGGTGTATAGAGACCAGTGTTTTGTCTCTTCTGTTTGGCCAACTGAAAGGTGTTACAGGTGCTAACTATCTTAGTCACATCTGTCTTTAAACGAGACTAATAAAATTGACATTCAACCTCCTCAATTGTCTTATCACGTCCAAAATGCCCAGCCAAGCCTCCAACATGACTTTTCCAAACTATAAAGTCTCGTACTGAAATCCGAGGGATATACAATTTATTGGACCTGAAAAGATAACCATCCTCTAGACGAAAACCATCAGTAGCATCCAAATGTCCACTTTTCGGTGCAAGGAAAATGTCCTTGAAATCAGAACATGACTCGTAATCTTCTTGGAGTCGTTCAACACCTATGCCCTTGACACTCATAATAGATAAAAGGGAAATGCGGTGGCATAAAGCATCCGTCGTTAGGTTTTCACTGCCTTTCTTATGTTTCAAAACAAAAATATAGGCTTGCAAATACTCAATGCAACGACCATGCCTAGCATTCAACCTCTTTTGAGAATTAAAGTAGCTAAGGGCCTCATGGTCCAAATAAAGGACAAATTCCTGAGGTAACAAGTAATGATGCCAATTGCGCAAAGCTTGTACAACTGCAAACAATTCCTTGTCATAAGTCGAGTACCGTAGTTTGACATCATTTAGTTTCTCACTGAAATAAGCAATAGGGTGACATTCCTGACTCAAAACTCCACCTATCCCTAACCTAGAGGCATCACATTCTACCTCAAAAACTTTGGAGAAGTCAGGAAGTCGCATGACTGGAACTTCTGTCATTCGCCTTTTAACCAACTTAAATTCTTTGGCCGCTTCGTGCATCTAATAAAATTCTCCTCTTTTCATGCACTCCGTAATAGGAGTCATGATTGTGCTAAACTCTTTAATGAAAAGACGATAAAAGATAGCTAAACCATGAAAACTCCTAACGTCATGTATAGTCTTGCGTTTAGGCCAACCAACAATGGCCTGAATCTTTAAAAGGTCAGCAAATATTCCTGTCGCGAAGACAATAAAGCCTAGGAAGACAACTTTATATGTGAAGAATGAACATTTCTTCACATTAGTATACAGGCTTGTTGCTCGAAGGGTAGAACAAATCTGTGTGAGATGATCTCAATGTTGTTCCCTAATTTTATTGTACACGAGAATGTCATCAAAGTAGACAACGAGGAATATACCCATGAATGGTCGTAGAGCTTGTGTCATCACTCTCATAAAAGTTCTCGGGGGCATTGGTTAGTCCAAAAGGCATGACCAACCACTCATAAAAATCATCCTTCATTTTAAAGGCAGTCTTCCATTCGTCACCCGAACGAATACTAATTTAGCGATACCCACTCTGTAAATCAATCTTAGAAAATATTGTGGCACCACCCATCATATCAAACATATCATGAAGCCTAGGGATTGAAAAACGGTACTTCACTGTGATCTTATTGATGGCGCGACTATCAACACATTCTTTAAGAGCCATCTTTCTTAGGAATCAAAAGGGCGGGAATTGCACAAGGACTTAAACTCTCGTGAATAAATCCTTTGTGAAGGAGCTCCTCTACTTGCCTCTGGAGCTTAGCAAGCTCAGTAGGATTCATTTTATAATGAGATAACTTTAAAAGAGACGATCAAGGAACAAAATCTATGGCATGTTGAATATCCCGTAAGGGGGCAATAGATCCAGGAGGTCTTCAAGAAAGACATTCCGAAACTCTTGAAGAACTAACTGGACCTCGTCAAGGGTCGATATTGGAGATTCCGATGGAACTTCCATGACGACCACGACGAACACAACAGAATTCTCTTTGAATGTACGCTCAAATTCTGTAGGGCTGATCTTATGTAATCATTTCCGCATCACAATTTTCTTAGCCTGTTGTAAAGCAACAAGTTTTGGCGGTAAAAGATTAAAGTAAATCTTCTTTCCATTAAACACAAGGGAACATGGATTTGATCGACCATGAATAGTGACATCCAAATTGAACAACCAGGATCAACCAAGAATGACGTATCCGACATCCATGGGAATGACGTCACACCATATATGATCTTTGTATTCAAGAAACTGTATAGGTACCAAACAACGCTCGTTTATGGCAATAGAAGAAATGTAAACCCAAGAGACGCTATAAAGTTGAGGGTGTGGACTGACTGCAATCCAAGACCGGACAATTTAGCCACTGAAACTGCATTGATGCAGCTACCACTATCCACAATAATTTTATAACCCTTATTATTGATCTTGCTATAAGTGTGAAAATGGCATGACGACGCCAGTCATCAGCATCTTTAGGGTAAGTAAGGATACAACGTACAACACTTTGTGCGAGTTGTCGGGGACAGGGGTTACAGAACCTAGATCTATGAGGAAGGTTCGAATACAACCTAATCAGGTATCCTCAATATCATCCAAATCGTCAAATTCTTCAAATTTAGGTTCATAGCCTTGATCTTCTAATGGCTCACCTTCTACATCTTTTCGTTCATCAATGATTAAGCTCGACTAGGACATCTGGATGAGATATGACCAAAACCTTTACAATTGAAGCACTGCAAGTGGGAAGAAGTTTTTGGAATTTTAGGAGCTTTACCTTTATTTTCCAATAAAAGGTAGACATTAAATGGGGGAGGCCCTAAGAGGGACTTAACAGGCGAAGGTAGCACGGACGAGACGAAAGGACGATTGTCAGCACGCCTTCCATGCGAAGTCTTAGTAACCAACTCATAATCTTGGACAAAAGAATAAGCATGAT